AGCAGGAGGCTCAGCCAACCCCCGCAGCAGCATCCTCTCATCGGAGGCACTCAGGGACTTTTGCAACCCAGCTCCCACAACTTGCGGACAGGGGAGGAACCACAGATGGGGTATCTGAAAGGCCAAGGCCTGGTTCCAGCTATGGTGGTACTCAAACAGACTGTGGCTGTCACCTTGTACAGCGCAAAGCCAGGGACCCTGTGGCAGCTTCAGGGTCACAGCAGATGATTGGCTGCCTGTACAGACTGACTCAGAGGCCAAGCAGTTTCCACACTGTGGAGACAAGAGCATTCTCCCAGCCATAATGGGAGCCTCTCCCAGCCTAATGGGAGATGACATGGGAGCCTCCTTGCCTCAGACCACAGTTCCACACCTGGATGCTAAGCCTTCCTGGAAAAGGGACCTGCCACATGTGGAGACCGCTGGGCTGTGGGGACATGTTCTTGCCCACTGTTCTTCTGGTGTCCAGCTATTTCTTTTGCCTTTACACAGAAACAACCTTCCCTCCCTCTGCCCCACAGTCTCTCCCCATGCACGTTCCTCATGAAGACCTGTATACCTGCAGAATGCCACTTCCTTGAGCTCCTGCCCAATTGTCCTAATCCCCTAAATGATGATAAAATAGGACAGCAAAACAGGTGAGACAATGCTGCCACAAATGGCACTGTTTGAGGGGCAAATAACCTAACAAAGACTGGAAAGGCACTTTGGGTTATGAAGCTACCTGGCCTGTCCTGAGCTGGACTACCTGTAATAATGCTGAACAGCCCTTCCGCAGCCAGAGAAGATGGCAAAGTGAACAGCTGGGGAGCTAGCCAGCTGGGGAAGTGCCTGCTGGCTTCCCTCTGTTGGGTGTGTGTTGGCCTACCTGAAACACCACCTTCCTCTCATGCTTGCTGGGTGATCTTGCCTCTGTTGGGCAGTCTGGTACCTACTGCTGGGCAATTGCACCTCCCAGTATCTTACCACCTGGCTGAGCATTATCTAATTTGGCTCAGGAAGTCCCCACACTTGGGCCAGGATTTCTTGGGACTACTTCTTCTTGGTGTGGAAGGTATAATGTACTCTCCTCTACCCAGAAAAGCCAAGTACACTTTCCTTTCCCATCCACACTCTCCATTCAAGAGATGATGGGGTCTTCTGTAAGTGCCAAGGGCCTTCATTGACTTGACCTGCCCAGTTTGTTCTTTGTACTGAGAAAAAAAAGGGGGGAGGGGAAAGGGGTGCGAAGGAAGCAGGACGAAGAGATCAAGAAACAAACCCACAAATAAAGGACTTACGCAGCACAGCAAGGGAGCTTTAGACAGTAGCTCTTCTCTGGCCAGAAAGTGGACATTGCTACCACAAGCAAATGAAGAAGGCAGGTCCCTGGATGACACCTGGGAATCCCAGGTACTTTGATGCACCCAGGCAACAGGAAAAGTTGACTCTTCTTGCCTGATTGCTCTCTGAACAAAGCTTCCACTTCATCACAGAGGTTTATTTCTTCCTCAAGGACTTTGTTCAGGGCACACAGTTCTATGCAGTTATTGATCCCTACTCTCTGGAGAAGCAAGCGCAGTGGTGAGGAGAGGGGGAGAGGCATTCAAAAAGGGAGACACTCTGCTCAACACCATGTCCCTTAGAAGGGTGTCAGGGAAGAATTAGCTCCAGAGGCTCCTGATGGGCCATGTCCTGCTGCTTCCCACAATGGCCCTCATCCCACTAGGCTGTTGAAGCTAATGAAACCTCACTAGCACAAGTCCCAGAGGTTGGGTGCGGAGCCCTAAGTCCTGGAGCTCAGAGGAGGTGGGGTTGGTCCTTTTTTTCTGAATTTCAAGAGTGATGTGGTCTTTGCATGCTATAACATCATCAATGCAGCAGACTTTCCAAACTGAGCACCTTGTTCACATTAACCACTCCTAGCAGCTCATCAGTCCTTCTCCACCTTCTTCTATCATCCGCTGCACCTCTGGCACATCCATTATCAGCTTCTCTGTGAATCTCTTCCCCCTTTACACCAAGACTCCCTTGGCCCAATATAGAATAGGGCGTAGAGACAACTAAGAAGCTGGAGATCCATTTTTCCTGTGACATCCTCCCCTGCCCACCTGGTCTTTTCCTTCTCTGAGGAGCATCAGGACTCCTGGGGCCCTCCACCCATCCTGGTGTACAACCTCCTCCCACTCCCAAGCACTGCGTTGTTTTTACTAGCAGATCCCTGGCTGAACTTGGGCACTTGGGGGGTGCTAGACACCAGAGAGGTAGTTGGATCCTGCAGTTGGACTTAAGCAGGAGATCAGTGGACCTAAGCTTCAGGCTCAGATCACTAGATAATCATGACTTTATCTGATATACTGCTTGAACATAAGTAGCCACTCCCTTCCCATCCCCTCAGTTCATCCTGCCCCCCGCAAACTGGGATGCAGACACTGCTCACTGATGCCCAGGGACCTGAGGGCCTCTCCTGCGAGGTAGTGTCCAGGGATGCAAGAGGAGCTAGTGCCATCAGTCCTCACTATGTTGCTTACAGAGGGCCAACAGAGAAAATGATAGGGAGGAGAGGGGGCCCAATAAGAGGTAGAGGCCAATCACAGTATTTATTGTTCACAGTTTTATGAATGTACAAAACAAAATCAAACCATTAAACAGAAGACCTCCAAGCAGGAGTTGCTGTTGCCTGCCTTTGTTCACATCCCAAGTACAAGTCCAGGTGCTCCAGGCCAGTGCTAAGCCTGCGAGCTGAACAACCATTTGGCAAGGTGTCCTTTGGAAGGGCAGGCACCTTCTTTGAACAACCAGAGCTGGGAATAAGTCCCCTCCCTCAGCCATTCCAAGCATGTTTTCCTTTCTTTGGCACTCTACACACTCTGGCCAGACTCCCCAAAAGCCCCACTTGATAGATCTCCATTACAGAGATACTTCCAGGTTTTCATAGGTTCAGAGTTAGCCACCAGTGGGATGCAGTCAGATTTTGACACTGGGTGCACATGGCGAGTATTTACGTGTATGTTTTTTGACTGCTTTCTTCTGTTGGATCAGCACTGGGACCCTACCCCCTTGGCCTTTGGTGGGAAGGGGAGCAGTTCACTATGTTTAAAGACAGAGTAATGAGGGCTTGTCCTAATTCCTATAGCACAATTCCCTGCACAAATTCAGAGAAAGACAGCACTTTCTCCTGTCAAGAACAGATAGTCCAGCTTCCTTGACAAGCTATCCAGCATTGGGAATTAAAAGTGTGCCCCTTTCTTTGAAAATAGGGCAAATGCAACGCTCATTCTCTCAGCCCTGTGCAGCTGTACCCCAGCTCCCTGCTGGGGCAGAGCCTGGGAAATGGACTTGCAGTTCCAGGCAGAGAACTCTCTGTGATATCTCACAGAGATGCTTGGTAAGGACGGGCAGTAGCACCCATTCCCTGCAGGCACTGAGAGTTTGTTTCTGCCGTTGCTTATTCAGCCAAGCAACTCCTCTGGGGCACACAGCTGGGGATTGAAATGGCTTGCAACAAAACACCTAGTGGCGTGCCCAATTCTCCTGTCCTCTTCTGAGGTGCAAGTGTACTGAAAAGATAATGGGTTATAAAACACTAATAATATCACCCCAAACTCTTGTCAAGCACTTTTCATCAATAGATTTCATCAAAGTTTTGCAAAAGAACTTTGCAAAAGACATCATCTTTCTCATTCAATAGCTGAGGAAACTGCGGTATGGCATGGATAAGTGGTGTGAGCGTGCCAATGGGAGCGGGCAGGTCTTGCTCTCCTGCCACATATCCTGCTCTGGGAAAAGGCAAGCATGGCTGTCCCTATCCTCAGAGCTGCCCATATGCTTGCAGTTTGGCTTCAGGGTCTCTCACCCTCCATCTCCCTGTTCTGAATGCAGCTGGCTGGAGCAAACGTGGAGCTGCAGTGTCTGGGAGCCTATTATCCTGGTGCAGGAAAGAGCAAAGAGGAGGGTGCTGGTTCAAGTATCATGTCCCCAGTGATGCCCTAACACTCAAGCTCTGCCCCCTGTCCCCAGGAGTGCTGGTGGCACCCCCACGGAGGGCCTTGCAGGAGGGTATGGCTCCCCTTTCTGTGCTGCCACAGCCTTTCTGCC